GCTGTATAGAAATTGGGTGTATTTGGCAAAACTGCAATGGAAACAGTTTTTTCACATCACAGGAGTCACGTGATCAACAACCGTCTGTTTCTACTGGTGAAAAAGACGATGATGAAGAAGATAACAGGAAGTAGAAGTAGTAGTAATATCACAGAAGTAGTATAAACATCCATCGCTGCCATGTTTGTAATGACTTATCATGAGAACAAACGTATTCACGTGACTTTAATAACATTTCTTACTTAATTCTGTTGTAAAACTGTTTTTTCAACATTAACAGAATATCAACAAAGTTTCGGGCACATTTGTAATGGAAACACAGCTACTGTCACAAAAATAAACAGGAGAGCGAACACAGCTGAGTTTTTTATTTTATTTTACGGCAGTTTTATTTTTCAAGATTTGTTTTTTAATGCAAGTTTTGCAACTTAGCTGATGAATGTTTTGCATCAATGACGTTAAATAAAATGTACTTACAAGTACTGACAGTTCTGAATGTTTTTTGTTTTTCTAATACTGAATTTCATGAAGTTATACCATTAAAAAACAACTGAAGGGATGTGATATAAAACATATCATAATGGTAACAGAGTGTGGTTCACTCAAACATATATTTTCTGTAGACTAGACCGTGTCATTTCACAGCCGTCTATGCAGCCTACACAAGCGGCCTACGGCCCACATAGGGTGGGGCCAAGGTGGGCCGCGGTCTAGTTTGGTTGCAACCCATGAGCTGAGACAAAGTGTATCTGTGAGAGCAGAAAAGATGATGTAAAGGTCCTGAAGACCGAGTTTGTGTTGGAGATAACTAATGTCTCTGAAGTGACATAAACACAGCTTCTGTCTGGCAGAACGTGGGGAAGAGGATGTCCTGCAGTCAGTTTATCTCCAACCTGGAAGGACTCAACGATGGAAAAGACTTTCCCAAAGATCTGCTGAAGGTACAACTGCTTTATTCAGACAGGAATGTCAATACTAATACCCTGAAAATACACACATTTCTATTCAGAATAGACCTCCTCACAGTGCTTAAGAATTGCAGACAAGTCTGTACCCTTTAAGAATAACCCACAGATGTCAGTGAAAAAACTTGACACTGACATAAAGAGATAAAATCAGTCAGTGCTTTTAAATTTTGGTTCAGTTGATCTCCAGTGCTGTGACTTTAAACTTCTGGATAATGTGTATCTGTAGTTTCAGGAACATTAGAGTCTTTATCTTTACATGATGTTAATGTTGTTTCTACGCTCCTGACACAACTCTGTTTCAGGTTTCTGTGCTCAATAAGTATAGTTAGGGTTGCCAACTCAGTTCCTCCAAATTATGGGACAGCTCCACTGGAGGCGGGGCTTCATGACACAATGTGTCAATCATGAATTCATCACACAATAGTTCTTATTCCCCCAACATTTGAGTTACGTCCACCTAAACACGATGCATTCTTGTTTCTGTTATTTCTATGTAACATGATAGATTAAAATAAGGATTTAATCAAAATGTTTTTCCTTTACAACTAAACAGCTGGTGAGAGGCTCAGTGAACAGAAGGACAAAGAAATGTAAAAATAAATGTAAACGTTGTGATTATTAAACCTTTGCCACTTCAGAAAATAACTGATCAAGAATAAATTTAATTTAAAAATATAGATCAGGACTATACTACATTTCTATAAACTTATACGATTTTTATACATTTTATATGTTTCATATTTCTTGTTTCTTATGTTCAAATGCAACCAAAATCAGATTAATTCCAGTCTAAAATGAATAAATCTGACCCAGGCCTTTTCAATATGTAATACTAAAACAGATACATATCTGATGTTTTTCAAAGCGACTGTGGTCTTAACGCTCATGTCTCTTTTCATCTGTTCAGATCGATCTCTAAAATAATGTCATTAACCTTGAGTCGTGCTCTTTAAATCTTGTAACTCCACACGTCTTCAGCTACAGAACAGAGTCCAGTCGCTTCGTCTTTGTTCTTTTCATTTTCCGTGTCCTGGATGACTGCAAATCACTGTAAAAACTGTCCACCTAACCAAGTTTTAAAATCTTATATCAGCCAAAAAGTCTTTTTGATCTTGTTTTCAGACTGATTTACTAAACAAGAACTGATTGTGTAAGAATAATCATCTTGTTTTCAGAATGTGTAAGATTA